CCCCCGGCGCCGGGGGGAGAGCTGCGTCCGTCCGTGAAGGACCAAAAACAGGTGCCTCCAGCACCGTCGACTCCGGCTCCGAGGCCGTTGAGTCCGGTGCAGACAGGGTCACCACCGCGACCGGCGGGGATACAGTACCTCCCGTCGACCCCAGAGACCCTCGCGACGGCGAGAGACTTGATCGCTCTCACGGAGCCGGCACCGCCCCAACCACCGGCACCGTCGGCACCGTTGACTCGTCCGGTCCAGTCCAGGGGGAAACCTGCCTTGATGCGCCCTCCATCGCAGGGACTGGAACCACGGCACCGGTCCAGGTCCCGAAGCAGGTCCCCACGCCGCTCGCAGTCCCGGCGCCGGATATCACCTCGGCACCGGTCGTACTCGCGGCTAAGATCATCGTCGCGGCACCGTTCTACGTCCCGGCACCGCTATGATCGTCGGTACCGGTCAACATCGAGACGTAGTTCTCGGCACCGCTACGATCGACGCTCAACGTCGAGGGGTCGCTCCCGGCACCGGGCCTACTCCAGGTCACCGTCCAGGTCCAGATCCGACTCCCGGCACCGGCGCGGTTATCGGCACCGATCGCGATCTCGGCACCGATCGCCGGCACCGCACAGAGATAGAACATCTCCAGACCGGCACCCTGCGGCACCGTATCCCACGGGAATCGTCTCGGTGCAGTCGGCACCGCCATGGCCATCGAGATCGGTGTCTCGCTCCTCTGAGGACATATCGAGATCGGCATACCCCCCTCAGGGGCAAGCCGAGGAGCAAGATATAGGCCACTGGCAGGAGGTAGCAGAGGACCCTGCTCACGCCCCATCTCACTGGTCTTTCTGGACCCCGTGGGCGTACCATCAGGCGCAAGGGGCTCCACTAACTTCAGCCTCTCGCTCGGGTCACTCTGATAGAAGGGCCCCAGAGTCCACCATCTCTCGCCCTCCTCCAGGGGGCATGGAGGCTTCCGTGCCCGCACCACCTGACGTCTTGGACCCAAGGGCAGGTGATGCTCCGTCCCAGGAACAGGGAGAACAGGACCCTCCCTTGGACCCCTTACCACCGGAGGCATCTTCCTCTTCCTCTCCGGATGAGGCAGTGGCGGGCACGTCGTGCACAGGTCCACCCCCGATAGCTCTTCGGGCTCATCAGGACCTCTTACGTAGGGTGGCCCGTAATATGGACCTACAGGCGGAGGAGATAGTGGAGGTGCAGGACCCCATTGTAAATATCCTCTCGGCGGAT